AATTGTAAGCGGACCCTAAATAGTCATGTGGAGTGTGTTTCAAAGTGTTTAACAAGATTTTTTAAAATATCAATAGTAATATCTGCCGTTCATGTTTCATGGTATATTGCCGATATATTTTATCGAATAACATTAGGTCGGAAGGACAGTATATCGAAAATTAACATTAAAAATAGTAAAATATAAAAAAATCAAATGACACCATGCAACCGTCCGTCTAATCCCTATTATCGGGAAAACTAATGTCAGCAACTATCGTTAAATTAGGTATTAATGGCAAATTTTTCCATAATCTTAATCCATAGCAACTTCATTTAATATATGTTATCCTTACAATACTGTTAATTTACAAATTAATATATTTTTTAAAAAGCTTGATTAATTTACCTAACCTGCGCGGCCTGGAGCCGTCGCAATTTGTCTCGCGAAAAAAATTATATAAAAATGAAAAAAAAAATAAATAAAAAAACTTAAAAGAATTTACCTAACCTGTGTGGCCTGGAACCATTTACATGTTGTTATTTATAAAAAATCATTTACAAACCGGTAGAGACTGATAAAACACTAACGTTTGTTTGATTCATGAACCATTTAATGTAGAAGTTACTTACTTACTGACTTACTTACTTACTTACTTACTTACTTACTTACTTACTTACTTACTTACTTACTTACTTACTTACTTACTTACTTACTTACTTACTTACTTACTTACTTACTTACTTACTTACTTACTTACTTACTTACTTACTTACTTACTTACTTACTTACTTACTTACTTACTTACTTACTTACTTACTTACTTACTTACTTACTTACTTACTTACTTACTTACTTACTTACTTACTTACTTACTTACTTACTTACTTACTTACTTACTTACTTACTTACTTACTTACTTACTTACTTACTTACTTACTTACTTACTTACTTACTTACTTACTTACTCACTCACTCACTCACTTACTTACTTACTTACTTACTTACTTACTTACTTACTTACTTACTTACTTACTTACTTACTTACTTACTTACTTACTTACTTACTTACTTACTTACTCACTTACTTACTTACTTACTTACTTACTTACTTACTTAATTACTTACTTACTTACTTACTTACTTACTTACTTACTTACTTACTTACTTAATTACTTACTTACTTACTTACTTACTTACTTACTTACTTACTTACTTACTTACTTACTTACTTACTTACTTACTTACTTACATACTTACTTACTTACTTACTTACTTACTTACTTACTTACTTACTTACTTACTTACTTACTTACTTACTTACTTACTTACTTACTTACTTACTTACTTACTTACTTACTTACTTACTTACTTACTTACTTACTTACTTACTTACTTACTTACTTACTTACTTACTTACTTACTTACTTACTTACTTACTTACTTACTTACTTACTTACTTACTTACTTACTTACTTACTTACTTACTTACTTACTTACTTACTTACTTACTTACTTACTTACTTACTTACTTACTTACTTACTTACTTACTTACTTACTTACTTACTTACTTACTTACTTACTTACTTACTTACTTACTTACTTACTTACTTACTTACTTACTTATTTACTTACTTACTTAATTAGATTAAAAAAGTTGAATTGAAAAGCTTAGTCAGATCATGTCATAAAAATATTTCTACTATGTCAAATGTTATTGTATAGAGATTATCATAGTCAGTTTAGTTATTGTATTAAGTTGATTAAAAAGCTAATTAAACCCTATACACACAAATTAATGTTTTATGTTTACTTTTTTAATTTGGTTCGTGTAGCGCAACACCCTGTATGTGATTTCAAAACAATGTTATCGGTAATGTATGAATGTAGGCTTTCACGGCGGGAAGAGTACTTCGTCCACGCCACTGAAGATGGCTGCCGCAGTTGCAGCTGAAACGTTTGGTAGTAATAACCAAGAAAGACCACGACATAACAGCCCGGAAACAAAAAATACAATAATATGAAATTATTTATACAAAACACTAAATTTATAAATAATGACAAAATCGCAAATAAAGTAGAAGTATAAGTAATTAAAATTAAAGTAAAACGTTTCTAAACTTTAAAATTAATATTAATTTATTATTAAAAAATTAATGCGGCAAAACAATAAAGACCGTAAAGAAAGAAAGTTGCAAAAGAACAGGATTAAAACATGCTGCAAAGATTATAATTACCTATTCTAAATCTTAAAAAGGAAGTAAGGCAGAGGCTGAAGATTTTCACGGACTAATTTTAGTATTTCGGTATTCCCGCATTGTTAAGATGACAAAAATTCGTGACACAAATATGAATACTATTCGTTTTGTTTTACGCTTTTAAACTTGATGTTTTCTGTTTTTCTTAAAAACTATATATGCCCATTAAGTTTATAAACATTGAAATCGATAAAGCATCATTTTAAACAATAAATATTTCTGACAACTCATTGGATAATTTAGTATCTGTGTGTGTAGGGATTATTGGCGTCGGTTTCTATGTCCATTCCCCATTTATATATTGGTGTCAAAATTATTTTAAAGCAATTAAATTAAACAAATTGCGGCCAACGAAAGGATTCATTATGTCACCAGTTGCCAAAAGAAAAGAAAACAAATAAAAATAAACCTTTGGTTTTAAAATCAATATATACTTTATTTTATATCAAAGAAGGGAAAGTCGGCTATATAAAAATAGAATTTGGTTAAACTAACAACCTAGTAATAATGTTGTTTTGGTCCTCATTTTCCATTTTAAATCCGCCTAAAACAATACACGATAAAATAACCCACATTCTTTAAAACTAAATAACTTTAACAAGCAATATAAACATACTACAAGTGGTTGGGAATAAGTTAATACGATTCTCTATTTATCAATTAAATGAATGAAGTTAAGCATATACAACTAACAATACAAGAATGTGATATTGGTTGGGTAGATGTCGGTATTATTTTACAAAATAAAACACAATAAATGTGGAGTTCGCATTCAAAACCAGTTATATACATTTTTATAAAATTTTCGGTAAACGAAAAAAACGCTTCATATTTTGTGCTTGAAAAAAGTAAGATTCTGTGAAGGGAATTTTGTTTGACAAAAAGGGCCATTGATTTTTTTAAGAAAAAATAAAACAGTTTTGAGAAATAAGCCAAAAAAATATGGATATAACTGGTTTTGAACACAAATGAAACAATTTTATTTCAAAAATATTACTTGTTTATTGAAAGAGTTACAAGCAAAATTAAAAATCACTAAAAATAACTTGTACTTTCTGAAAATAAAAAGAAAAATATTTCTTTCCAAAAAATAACAAAATTATAACTTTTTATTAGAGGTGTATGTAAACAGTCACACATTTCGTTCACAACTTCTCCAGTTACATCTTCCTCTATGGTGGTTGCGTATGTGCCTTCCAACAAGTTTTTGTACCAGAAGAGGTCTTCCCTACTTTCCCATTCTTAGCCAAAATGTTCTTTTATGAGATGCTTTAAGGTTTTTCCTTTTTGTCCGGTATTGAATTGCCCAATGGTTGTCTGCTTTGGTCTATGTCATTTTCTATGTCATTTTCAGATTTCCCTTTTTACTTTCCTATCTGTATACAGATATAAGGAAAGTATAGGAATCATGATTTTTTTCGACCTCGAGTTTTCGACGGATTTTTACGTTTTGAGGTCCCCTAAATCCGTTTTGACTATTTTTCGCGATGATGTGTGTGTGTGTGTGTGTGTGTGTGTGTGTGTGTGTGTGTGTGTGTGTGTGTGTGTGTGTGTGTGTGTGTGGGTGCGTGCGTGCGTGCGTGCGTGCGTGGGTGTGTGTGTTTGTGTGTGTGTGTGGGTGTGCGTGCGTGTGTGTGTGTGTGTGTGTGTGTGTGTGTGTGTGTGTGTGTGTGTGTGTGTCTGTAGGTCGCATAACTCATGAACCGATACACAGGAAAACATCAAATTTTAACTTAAGCTTTATTCCAGCATCTAATGAACTGATTAGATTTTGGGCAGAGTCGGAACATCTGGGGGGGTACTTTATAGGTGGTCATTTTTATATTTTATGAAATATATCTGTTATTTACGTTTGGAGAAGAAAATTCTTCAAATAAAAGTTACTTATAATATAATTATCTATAATTTTTGTTCTATACAAAATTTTCCTAAAATGGTCCGTATTCGAGAAATTTGACAAAATGTAAAAAAAATATTTTTTTATAAAAATTATTTAAATAAAAGTTGTTTGTAATATAATTCTCTAAATTTTTATTCTATACATAATTTCTCTGAAATGGACCGTATTCGAGATATTTGGGAAAATGTGTAAATTTAGAATTTTGAAGAAAACTCAAAAACGGATAAAGAAAAAAACATTAAATTTTAAACTTAAGATAAACTAGATAGGAAAGTCATGTGTTGGACACATCAGATTTTTTAAGAAGGGATTACCAGGTAATGGCTGGCGAAACATATCTCTAATATTGGTGCGTCATCACTTTAATAGTAATTTGTTTCTTGTTTTATTTGATAAACTTTTTAATATGTATTTTTTTACAATCCGAAATTCCTTTAATTTTTTAAAAAACTTTTTCTAGTTCTTTTACATTGAAAATTTGCCAATCAGTAGCAAGAGTTTTTACCGAACCTACTTCTGAGCTTTCATTGCATATTACTTACGGATATTATGACGGGATTTGCTCTTAAAATCTTTTCCACCCGTCCAAAAGCTCGATCTGCAGGAAGAAAACTATGTCCTCGAACTGGATATGGTATGAATATTTTCTGTACATTTTCTGGGAACTTATGTTTTAGTAAGTAAATTAAGCAGTGAATGATATGCAAATTTTTCAGAATAATAATCTGATAAGGTTTATATTTTCACAATTTAAAGTTCCAAGATGATGCAACAATGCTGAGCCAATTTGAGAAGCTCCTCTTCCAGCTAAGTCTTCCATCCAAATATAAAATGTTGGATCTGTTGAAGTCATGGGCACGCATCAAAAGGAATACAGGCTAATTTGGTGAGCATAGAAGGCATTTCCAATAGGTGTACGGGGAAGAGGCTGAACCTGTTGAAGGTCAAAACAAAAAGTAATACTGTTGTCTGGATTTTCACGCCAAAGTTCATAGAAATTATTGGCTATTTTTTTGTGCATGCGGTATTCCAGTATAATATTGTTTTTCTTTTCTGGGTCATTGCTTTGTTTTAACCGCTCTTTCAACCTTGTACACTTGGAGCACAAATCGGAGGCAATATATACAAATATAAGGTATATACGTTTAGGTTTTTTCTGTTTGTAATGACTTTCTTTGCCACGCAATTTACCGATAAACTCTCGTACTCTTTCCTTTGTAGTTGCGCTTTTCTGGGACTTCCTATCCCCTCCCCATTTTTTTCCACTAGGACTGTTACCCGTCTCCAAAACCTTTGCAACTATTGTGAGGCGATTGTATGGTATACTAAAAATAGTAGCAAAAAATCCTTTACAGACTCGAACCCCATTTTTGCCAGACTTTGACATGTAGCCTACTGTTGCTTTTCTTGCCCGGATTTCTTTACTTTCCCTGTGTCGTTTAGCCGTCATAACACACATGTAAAGACATAGAAGTCTATCTTGGAGAACTTTACTTGAATGATTATAAAACTGCTTTTTTAGAATTAATATGTCTTGCGTGCCCACTTTACAACATTCATAGGTTTTTCTATTATGATCACAAGGTTGACTAAAATTTTCTAGACTAGGATCAGGATCTGAATATCTACCATACGTAAAAATTAGATAAATCTTACCCACAGTAGAAAATTTAACCTCACTTTTGCCTTTTACGACGATTTCGCTGTGTTTCCTGCTATTTTCTTTTCCTACTTCCATCATTTTCTTCACTCACACTAATGTCTTCTACTTCCATGATTGTTCATACTTTTTTAACTTATTTTATATGCAAATTCTTATATATACACACACAATAGCTGTTATTACTGCGACTCCCGCCAACAAAATAAAACGCCGACAATATTCCTTTAAACGTGCTTTTGTTGATATATCTGCTTTTGATCGCAATATATAACTGGTTTTGATACAAAAACCTAACTTTAGCTACTGATTTAAATGGTTTATATTGCGATTTGATCCAAAATGAGCATGGGAGTCGATAGATCTCACAGAGATCATTGGGGAAAACATGATTTTGTGGAAAAAGTGGATATATCTGGTTTTGAACGGAACTCTTCAAATAATCTAGTTAAAATTAGCAAAAATATTGTATGTAACACGTTACGAAATTCCATTTTGTGTAACTCTTTCATATGAGAATGCTAGATACAGTTAATTCTATTTTTTGCGATGGGTTTGAAGGAAAACAGGGTACAGGATGCGCTTTTTATGTGGAAAATAAAAACTTTATTTCCCAATTTCATCTAAAAGAGAAAGCAAATCGGTTATTCTTTCAGACTCGAAATCTGTTTTACTTTGAATTTCGAACTATTCCTGCAACATTAACAAAAATCCTATTATAAGAGAAATTATTCAGTCTCGCCTTTCTCTTCTAAGATCAAGATCGATTTCATTTGGGTTAAAAGTCATAAAGGGATAGTTGCAAATGAAAAAGTCGATTTAGCTGCTAAAGAATCCATTATTCTTTCAACAATTAGTAATATTCATTCTCCGCAGGATATTATTCATATAATGAAACGAAATGCAAGATCAAGCTGAGAGAAATTTTTGAAACACTATTGCTCATTCAAATAACACATATACATTTATTCACGCTATTCTTCCAAAATATATCCCCTAATTGCACAAATTTTAAAATGTCTAGATATTATTGTACGACTTTAACAAAGGTAAAACTGAATCATGGGGTTTTCCGTCACACCTTTCCAGATTTGGTATTAATATATCATATTTGTCTTAATGCGACAATTCTTCTTTTGCTTATATCAACCGCCTCATTTTTTTATGTAGCCACCATAATTTTCATCGTTCAGATCCTTTTCCTTTTCCCATCAAGTATTTCTATTTTATTAAGTGCGTATGACAAAAAAATATATAATTATTGAATTTTTAATTAAAGCAAATATTAAAATAAAAATAAATAATTATTCGGTTTACAAAAGTCTGAGGCAAAAAACTACATTTAGGTGTCATTTCTCAAGAAAAAAAACTCGTTCATGTTACGAGACCTCGCTCTGCTCGTCCTGTAAATATTCAACGTTACATAAAATAGGACATTTCGTAACTGGTCGCATAAATAGCTATTAAAACAATTTTTTCGAGACTTTCGCCAGCTGAAAAATGACATATTAAATATTTGGGAAGGCCCACTCCCGATTTAAATCTTACTCAGGCAGACAAAAGTTTAAAAGCTTCAGATACAATAAGATTTACAAGGCGCTATGTGTTTTAACGAATTAGATAAGTGTTTTAATGAATTAAAAAATAAATGTCTTCAAACTATTACTTATACATAGCAACGACAATTTTGACGAAAAAGTGGAAGAACATAAGTACCTACTTAGGTTAGGATAAATAAAAAGTGTGCTAAATTAGAGGAAGTGCTTTAGTAAGTTTGATACATTTAATATTTCTTAATATTTCTTTCAAAAATAATAGACTAGATCACAAGCCGCCAGTTTTTTACTGTTTTCTACAATAATAATCTTATATATAGGGTGAACAAATTTCGTGTGAAGACTAAGGCTGGGCGATTATCAAAATAAATATTTAATTAAGGATTATTTAAAATAATCGATTAGGTATCTATTTTTGAAAAACATTAATCTACTTATCGATTATTTTGCCCAACCCTGCCTGGAATACCGAGATATAATAGAGGTTGCGTTCGGGGCAACAATTCAGAATTGATAATGAATCGGGTATGCTCTCAAATAATTATGAATTAGTAATTCTGGATAAATTCATGATTGTTATCACGAACGAAGCTATGAACTACATTTAATACAAACCCAAATTAAAAAGCAGATAAAAAAAGGGTAGTAATAGTAGTTTATGTTATTAGTACGAAAAGCTGAGTTTGAGTTTGCCAGGCGAGATATAGAAAATTAAATCCAAATAATATTATTTCCAATTTTTCTTATAACTGAGATGGTTGTGATCGATAAGAATGACTAGGTAAGTATTGCAATGCGAGCCATTTCGTTATTCAGTCATGCTCTAATCATCCAAGTCCCTCTCTGTCTTATTTGGCCTTTGAGGCTCAACTTGTCTGATTATCATACATAATTAAACCCCTTAAGACCAAACATTCGTGACGACTATGGCGAAGGCACTTTCGAGTACATTCCAGATTGAACGTGATAATGTTACTAGTGTTGGTGAGAATTGGTGAGATAATTCTAGAACCTTCACCAAAATTTTAAATGTGTATTTAATATTGGTGGAGGAACACGAAGCAGTCAGTCGTATACAAACAGTTGTAAAGATAAATTGTGGCAACTCAATGTCATTCCATTTGGATTATATAATGCCTCCGCGACATTTGAAAGTTTGCAGATATTGCTAAGCCATTACCACGACTCACAGAAGAAGCGAGCGAATTCTGCTGGGACGAGGACTGCCAAACTGCCTTTGAAACATTAAAGAAGCATATAACAACATCACCAATACTAGGCTACCCACTACCAGAGGGATATTTTATTCTGGATACTGATGCCAGTAATGTGGGAATTGGAGGAGTGCTTTCACATATTCAGGAAGGGGAAGAAAGAGTACTGGGTTATTTTAGTAAAGTGCCCTCGAAACTTGATCGAAATTGATGATGGTTCCGAAAACAGAAGACAGTTGGTCATTCCAAAGAGTAGAGTAGCCGAAGTACTTCGTCAGTTACACGACATCTCGGTGTTAAGAAAACCCTTCAGAGAGTTCGGGAAAGGTTATACTGGATGAACAGTTCCGATGATGTAAAGGACTGGTGTAAGAAATGTTCCATCTGTACTATGAGTAATGGACCCCAACGAAAAAGGAAGCCTCCTATGAAGCAATACAACGTTGGTAGCCCATTTGAGAGGATCGCCTTAGATATTGCTAGTTATGGATTATTTTACAAAGTGGGTGGAAGTCTACGCCATTCCAAATTAAGAAGCCGCAACTGTTGCAGATGTATTGATAAAAGAGTTTATCTGTCGATTTGGAGTGCCCTTGGAGATCCATAGTGATCAAGGCAGAAATTTTGAAAGCCAACTCTTCCGTGAAATCTGTGACAGACTAGGCATGAAGAAAACCAGAACCACAGCATTGCACCCACAATCTGATGAAATGGTAGAACGTGTGAATAAGATCATTGAGAAATATCTGTAGAAGCTGGTTTCAAACCATCAGCGAAATTGGGATCAGTATATTTCGCTTTTTGCAATGGCCCGTAGATCCGCTGTCAATGAATCAACAGGCCAAAGAGCAGCAAAGGTCCTGTTTGGGGGGCGTGAGATGAGACTACCATGCGACCTCGATTTTGGATGCCAACCTGGGGAAGATTATGTAATCCAACTACGACGAAAAATGGACGACATGCATGGGTTAGTTCGCTCGCATCTTCAAATCACCTGCGACAGAATGAAAAAGCGATACGATACCCAAGCCATAGAAGGATGTTTCAAAAAAGGCGACAAAGTCTGGCTTCATAGCCCAAAAAAGACAAGAGGGTTATTCTCCGAAGCTTTAAAGGTCTTGGCAAGGTCCGTACTTTATCAAGAATAAAATTAATGATGTAATTTACCGTATAAGTAAGAACCCAAACGGTGAACCGAAGGTAGTGCATCAAAACAGGCTGGCGCCATTTGAAGGTCAAGTAAACGTGATAATGTTACTAGTGTTGATAAGAATTGATGAGATAATTTTAGAACCTTCACCAAAATTTTAAATGTGTATATAAATATTGGAGGAGGAACAAGGAGCAGTCAGTCGTATACAAACAGTTGTAAAGATAGTGAACAATTTAAATTAGAATAGTATTGTTTTAAAATAAACAAGTGTTCAATTAAATTATTAACAAATAAACTGTTGTTTAAAATAAACAAACGTAACAGTATATTCATTGATAACAATTGAATAATTGCTGTCATGTTAGTGTCTCAAATCGATTTAATTATATACTTTATTTAGTTTTTCTCTTATTCAATTAAAAATGTTTCTACTTAAATTTGATGAACAATTAGGTTATGGACTATTATTTTATGATAGCAAAAAAAATCTTTGACAAATAAAAAATGATCGATTATACGAAAATAATCGATTAAGTGAAAATAATCGATTAAGCGAAAATAATCGATTATCGATTTGAAAAAACCCATTTATCAAATATTATGCCCACCCCTCGTGATGACGTCATCACCTTTTTTTAATGGATCATCCAATTTTTTTCCCATTTCCGGATTTCCCTTGCCGAACTGATTCCAAAGATGTATCTATTACACATTGTTTCAAATTGGTACAAAGTGGGAAAAATATAAGTTATTTGCAAATCAAGAAATAAACAATAAACGTAATAAACAAATTAAATGACATTACGTTTTATTATGTAAATACTTTCATAAACTTTTAAAAAACACCCCCTATTGTATCTAACACCTTTTATTAATGCTCTCTTAGCCTCTCGACTATACCTTATTATTTTTATTGTTTGAAAGTATTTTTTTACTATTTGTTTTACCTTTTTTTTTTTTCATATATTCAATAGTTTTTTCAAGTGCTTTTAACTGAAAATAAGAGAATTGAAATATATTGCTCCGTCTAAATGGGTTCCGAGCAGAGATAACAAGGAGATGTAACTACTAACAAATGTCGTGCGGTCCTGAATAAGACATATTCTAAGGGACATAGACGGGTATAATATCCGCTGTTGTCATATGCCTATTTCATTA